TCCTTCATCTGGCCAGTTTTGTGGAGTAGTTCTCGGACTTCTTCCTGGATTTATCCTAGAGGCTCTTCCTCTAGCCCTGCTAAGGATTCTTGAGCTATTGACTATATCTTAGAAAGTTTATTTTTCCTTACACTAACTCAGATAAGTCTATTGCTTGCACCAACCAAAGCTGGTCTACAGAAGAGGATGATACGCCTCAACCTAAGACTAACAATTGGGTCAGAAGAAATAGGGAAGGAATTGGGGTCGGGGGAGCTCTTTAGCTATGCAATATTTTATTTCTTTGAAAAAGCCAGGAAAATATCTGAAGCAAAGATGGCAAACATACTACTCTTTGAGGTGTTTTCTGTAGGTACCTGAAATGTTATTTGTGTGTACTTTTCTAGCTGTTTAAAATATTTTATTTAAAAATAATGTTTAGGCTAGGTGAGTTGGCTCATGCCTGTAATCCTAGCACTCTTGGGAGGCCAAGGTGGGAGGATTGCTTGGGCTCAGGAGTTTGAGACCAGCCTGAGCAAGAGCGAGACCCTGTCTCTACTAAAAATAGAAAAAAAAGCCAGGTAGTCCCAGCTCAGGCCGCAATGTGAGCAATGGGGAACAGCTTGCCTGCTTCTTACTCCTGCTGTGCGGCCCCCCAGCGGTCCTCCCACTTCCTAAATTTCATGGAAGACAATGGGGGAACTGCAGTTCTAGATAATTCTTATCTAGAAGGTGAGAAGAATGGAACTAGGCTAAAGCTATGGTTGATGAAAAGCAACAGTCATTCATATTAGTCAGGACAGGAAGGGGTTTGCTCCTTTTTGTGGTTTGAATAATGTTCTTGTTTAGTCTGTGTTCAGACATGATTATTGAGCCCTCAGGTCTCTGCCAAAAAAACGCCAGGGGTTGCTAGGAGCACCAGAAGCTAAGAGAAAAACACGGGACGGATTATCCCCTGGAGCCTGCAGAAAGAACACAGCCCTGCCAACACCTCCGATTTCAGAAGTCTAGCCTCCAGAACCAGGAGACAATAAGTTTCTGTTGTTTTAAACTACCTGGTTTGTGGTACTTTGTTATGGTAACCCTGGGAAACTGATACAGATGTCTATTTTAAAATGTATAGTTTTTCAAGATCTTTTGGGGGGGCATGTGAGCCAAACAGTTTGCTTTTACTTTGCCATTCAGAGCACTGGGCAGAAATCACATTGCATCAACACCTGCCAAGGGCCTTCAACCCGCGCTTCATTGAATTTCTTCACTTTGACATAACAGTTTGCTTTTAGATCAGAGTTTTTCAAGAGTGTCTGTGCACCACGAGATTCTGATGCATTCCACTCTCTTGGAGGCTTATTTTAAGTCATTTCCTGGGCTCCTTACAGACACACAGAATGGGCGTGGGCCCTGTATTCTGCATTTTAAACAAGTCCCCAGGTTCTTCTGCATCTTAATCCACTGCCCAAGTAGGAAGATTTCTGGGCTGCAGACAAAGATCTCCCCAGGGGATTTAATCCTCACCTGGGTGGCTCCTTAAATTCCCAAATTCCTATGCCTCAGCTTTATCTGTCACTTAGGAATAATACCTATTTGTCCTACCTCACATAATTATTGTAAGCAAAAAGTGTTAAGCTCTTTAAGTGTAGTTTTTATACCTATGAAAATCTATTATTGCTTCACCTTTTGCACAAAGATATTCCCAGGGATAAAGCTTCCAATACCAGAAGATGGAGGAAAGAAATCTAGGTAATTTAAGAGTTAAAGCATACACATTAGTGGGGAAAACCCTGGCTCCAGTTCAAGCCACAATCTGACCCGTATTCACTGCAAAGCATTTGTAAAATCGGAGCTGTGGATAGACTTCTAATAATCTGTCCAGCTCTGACACTCCACAAGGCCATGAAATACTCCAAGAGTTGGAACGGAATAGCAAAGTCACATTAGATGCCTTTGCTTTGGAGACAGGGCAAGGCAAAGCACCTGATCCATCCAATCACTTTGCATGTTAAAACATTGTTTGGGCTAACCCAGCCAGCCTCTCCCTTGTCCTGAGACCGAGTCAGCACACAATGTGGCCCCTTCCCACCTCTGTCACCTCTGTAGGCAGGGCTGCTAGATCTGGAAACTCTAGGGATAGGGGCCCTTCCTATTTATCCTTTTGTAAAACACCTACCAAAACAAGATGACTCAGGTATACCCTCCCCAAACTTGGCTTGGCTGCAACCGCAAGCTTTGTACATACAGGAAGATCAGCGTTTCCTTTGGTTCTTTCTCTCCCAATCCATCTCTGACTGGTCTTTTGACTTATTTTGCATAAGAAATTCCTCATCTTAGAGGGCTTCTCCATTAACACTGGAAAGTGGCCAGCTCTGAGCCCATTATGTGGACCCTCGGTAACAACACAACCCTAAAACCATTTGTAGCTTTTTTTTTTTTTTTTTGAGACAGAGTCTCACTTTGTTGCACAGGCTAGAGTGAGTGCCGTGGCGTCAGCCTAGCTCACAGCAACCTCAAACTCCGGGGCTCAAGCAATCATTCTGCCTCAGCCTCCCAAGTAGCTGGGACTACAGGCATGCGCCACCATGCCCGGCTAATTTTATATATATATATTAGTTGGCCAATTAATTTCTTTCTATTTATAGTAGAGACGGGGTCTTGCTCTTGCTCAGGCTGGTTTCGAACTCCTGACCTCGAGCAATCCGCCTGCCTCGGCCTCCCAGAGTGCTAGGATTACAGGCTTGAGCCACCACGCCCGGCCTCATTTGTAGCTTTTGAAAAAGGCTCTTTCCTTGACCAAACTTGAGTCAGGCTCCTCTGAATCCTCTTTTCACTAGGCCCTGAACTTGGGCTCTGTCCTTGGCTTACTAAATCCTTTTATCGAGAATCCTGCTGAGTCCGTTCAGCAGAAATCCCCCATCCTTGGTATCTGATCGCCCTGGCCTGTGCTCAGCAAGAATCTCCCTGGCTTTTATGTTTCCTTTTAGTGATTTTCCATTCACTGACCCCCCAGCCTGCTCTTTAGCTATGAATCTCCACCTGTCCTTGTATTTGATGTTGACCTTGATCCCTTTTTCCCTACTGCAAAACCCCTTTGGCAGACAACCCTCTTGAATGGAGACTTCCTTACTGTCTTTAACAAGTGTTTGAATGATTTTTCTTTAACATTAGTCCCGTTTCCTACTTCAACATGCTGTCGGAGTCTCAGTTTTCTGATCTGTGTACGGAGAAGATCAAGTGAGATTAAAAATAACTGTGGGCCGGGCGTGGTGGCTCACGCCTGTAATCCTAGCACTCTGGGAGGCTGAGGTGGGAGGATCTCTTGAAGTCAGGAGTTTGAGACCAGCCTGAGCAAGAGCGAGACCCTGTCTCTACTAAAAATAGAAAGAAATTATCTGGACAACTAAAAAATATATATATAAAAAATTAGTCGGGCATGGTGGCACATGTCTGTAGTCCCAGCTACTTGGGAGACTGAGGCAGTAGGATCGCTTGAGCCCAGCAGTTTGAGGTTGCTGTGAGCTAGTCTGACGCCATGGCACTCTAGCCTGGGCAACAATAGCCAGACTCTGTCTATAACAAAAAACAAAACAAAACAAATCAAAAAAACTTTGATACAGTGTAAAGATAAAATCACTATTTGGGAGCAGGAGTCCCAGTTTTAGCTCAAGCTGTTCTACTGGTCTGGCCTGGCGTTAATTTGCTTGGAGCAGGAGGAGGGATGCAGGAGACGCTGAGACCACACCTGGAAGATGAACAGGGAAGACTGCCCCCAGCCTAGACCTTGAGTTGTCTGACTCTGGAGGTAAAAAGAAGCTCAAGGTAGCCGGTGAGACAGAAGTTGAGCACTTTGGTGTCCATGTGGGACCAACGTGGGAGAAAGAGGCATTCTGGGCTCTGCCCAGGGAACGTGGCTTCTTTGGCCCTGGACCACTTGCAGTCTGTGGAGGTGGCACTCCAGTGGACACAAGAGTGGACATCCCCTGGGTGGCAGCAGGCATTTGTTTGGGGAGACACACTATGTGGGTTTCCTGAAACAATGCCTGAGCCTTCCAGTTACGGAAACCCCCAACATATGGATCCCTGTCGTTTTTCGTGGCCCCTTCCATCTGCAAGTGCGGGCGAGATGGGAGTACTGGCAACGGAAAGAAAAGCCAAGCTCTGTAAAATAACTTTAAAGAGATCTACTCTGAGCCAAATTTGAGGACCATGACCCAGAGCCACTCCCAAGAAGCCTTGAGCAAGTGGACTCCTATGGTTGGGTTACAGTTTGATTTTATACATTTCAGGGAGACAGAGATTACAGGTAAAGTCATAAATCAATACGTGGGAGGCATACATTTGTTTGGCCCAAAAAGGTAGCCATCTCCAAGGGGGGGGGGTGCTTACAGGTTATAGGTGGGTTTAAAGATTCTTTGGGTTGGTTAAAGACACGAAGCTTGTCTAAAGGCTTGGAATGTTTCAACTGAGCTGTGTATCAGATAAGCCACCAGACATAGATTTGTTCTGTAAACTGAGGACCTGCAGGTTTGTCTTGCATACTCTCAGTCCTCTTAATGGCTTACAAAGGATGTCTCCAAGAAGGGACGGGGGCATGATGAAGCCTGTCTGACCTCCCTCCTCCTGGCAGACAGTTTAGTTTTAGGATATTCCTTTGGCCACGAGGGGGTCCATTCAGTCAGCTGGTAGGGGGGTGGGGTGAGCCTTAAAATTTCGTTTTAGTTCACAGTACACTGGCGGTCGGACTCACCCAGCGCAGAGTCCCCGGGGTTGGAAGGGGCCTTGGGAACCGCTTGGAGGGGAGGGAATTTAGGCCAATACTGGCCCAGAGCCTGGTACAGACTGAACACCACCACACATGTATTGTATAAGGGCGTGTAGGCGCGTTCTCCGAGACCTCACCGCTAGACTAGCACCAACCTCTGAACCAGCACTAAGCAGCCCAGCTCTGCCGCAGGGCAGAGCCCCGGCCCTCCCCGCCGCGCGGCCCGCGCCTGCGCACTCGGCCTGCCGCTGGCCAGAGGAACACAAACTGCGGGGCAGGGGAGCGCGCGGACCCCCGCGGGATGTCGCTCCCGGAAGTGGCCCCTTGAGCGCCCCGGAACACGAAGTACCGCTTCCCCCTCCTCTTGCCAGCCGGTTGGCGCTCTGCGGCCTCTGCCTGCGGCGCGGGGCGGCGGGCTCGGGGCCGGGGCTCCTCCTCACCCGCCGAGGGGCGACGGCGGCTGCCGTCCCGGCTTCCCGGCTTGGCCAACGCGGTCTCCGCGGGCGGCCGGCCGGCCCCATCCCGGAATCCGGCCTGAGGTAAGGCGGGGAGGAGGCGTTGCCGGCTCTCTCCATAGACCTGGCAGCCCAGGTGGCCCCTCCTAGATGAGCCTTCTCTCCCCGGTTCCCCCGCTCCTAAAACGCTCCGCGGGAGCCCAGCGTCTTTCGGAACAGCCGGTTCTTACCCGCCGTTCCCTGTGTGCCAAGAACTGCCCTGAAATACCTTGACAGGCATTAACTCATTTAACCCGCACCAGACCCGTCAGATGGGTGCTGTCCTTGTCCCCATCGCACAGACGAGGAAACCGGGGCGTGTGGCTGCACCGTCACAACCTGTGGTCAGCAGAGCCAGGATGTAAAGCCACGGAGACTGGCTGTGAGTGTCCTCTTCTTACTCTAGCATTAACCCTAACCTCCCAGAAAAGAGTGTATCATTTTAAACATATCTCATTTTAGGTCACTTGTGTGCAGTGTGAAATCCAATGATGAGTGATTATTTGAAACATCTTTCTTTAGGTTTTATAAGTAGCCAGATGTGCACGTGGTACAGAACCCACAAATATATAGTGGCTTGCTCTGTTCTCTTCCTTCCACATGTTCCTGTCTTCCCATCCTTTTCCTTGCTGCCTTTCAGTCTTCTCACAGGTGGGGATGGGGTCAGAGACACCCAGGGCTTGAGGGCCCAGCAAGTGCTCACAATCCTCTGCCGGGTGGGGTGGAATAGACACTCCCTCCCCCATTGCAGAGTGTGAGAGGAGGGGGCTGGTGGGCCTAGGCCGAGTGAGGACTGAGGAAGGCCTGGCATAATTATGGAATGTCTGGGGTGGAGGCACAGGAGAGAGACAGGAGTGGCCCCTTTCCTTTTGGGCATGCATGCGGGAAAAGGATTGGTAAGAGCAGTGAGGAGGAGGCCTCTGATTTATTGAGCCAGTACCTGAGTGCTCAGGTGCCTCCCACCCCAGGCTAAGCTGGGTCATTCAGCCGGCAGGAATCAGTAGGCTCTTAGGTGGGAACTCCTCAGCATTAGCCTAAGATGGACAACTCCTTGCAAGACAAAATGTAAAGTCTTCAATGTAATAGACTCTGTTTATCGGTAGGTCAGCCCTAGCCCCCGCCCACACCCTCCACAAAAGTCCTCCCTGCCTCCTAGCACCATACCCCACTTTCCCTTGCTCTACTGTAACCAGCCCATTTCTAAGTTGTCTTCTGTCCTGAGCCATGAGTGGCAACCAGGCATAGTGCTTGAGGGCACAGTGCTGGTTCCTAGTAGATATTTGAATTTTTTTATTAAATGATTGAATGGATCAAGAATATCTGTGGAAGTGTAGCATTTCTGACGGGATAGGATAATTGGGAAACAGTATTGGTGCCCTGGGGTAAACTGGTAGGTCTGCAGATGAGGGTTTGGGGCTTTGACCCAGGCTGCAGTGCTGAGAGACAGGTCTTTTCCTTTTCTGTCCCATTGTTGGGAGGGGGCTGGTTTTATGCCCTATTCTGTGTCCTCATCCATAGCAATAGAGCTACAGACTGCTTCTGGAGGCCTGGATACTAACACTCCGGGTTGCAGTTTCCTTAGTCATGAAATAAGAGCTGAGGTAAGTCCCCTCCAGTTCTTAGTTCTGATGTCCGAGAGTGTCATTTGCACCTTTATCCAGCCCCTCCACAAGTGTCACCTCATGTGGGCCTTCATTTGTTGGATTTATGGTGGCTGACTAAGTTCTTGCAAGGTGGGCTTGAAGCTGTTGCCTCCTAACCCTTCTGAGTCTCTCCTGGCTGGACGGAGCTCCTCTCTGGCCAGAGTCTCATTGAGGCAGCCCTGCCATCTCTGCTGATCCTCCCATATTAGTGTCAGAATATACAGGTTTTCAATCTTTTTTTTTTCTCGATAGTTTTGGTACCAGTAAGTCTATTTATTCATTATATTTCCCAGAGAAAGGAGAAGGGAATGGAAAACAGTCAGCATGTATGTTATAAACTGGGAAAGGAAATGTTTGGTACAGCAAAATCAACCATCCAGTAGACACATCCCATCACCGAGGTATCTCCTGCAGTCCAGGAGTGAGCAGCAGGGGTCAGGGAAAGAGCAGATAGGTACAGGCTTTCCAACCCTCTCTCCCTGCCTATAAATTCAGGATTTCTCACAAAGCTTTGGTTCTAGCAGTAAACAGAGAGATATGTTTTTCTGTCTCCTATCAATCTTATGTCCAGTTTGACCTAAGTCTCTTGCACCTGCATGAAAGTTCCTAAGTAACTTGAATATACATTCATATTCCCTCACTTGGCCGCCTAACCTTTTTCCCTACATATAAACCCCCCAGTTGCTTCTCTCTGCTTCACAATTACAGATTAATAGGTTTGATCCATCCAAACAGTAGTGTCTCAAGTGTTTGGCATGAATCACATTGAGGAATTGGTCTTGACTCAGAAGTTGAGAACAAGGAGGGTTCCTGACTTCTTCAGGATTTTTGCATAAATTATTTAAGATTTGTGGAGACAGCCTAAGAATTAAATGTGTGTCTGTGTGGCTGTGTAGGTTTTATTTGCAGGGGAAGAAGGGAATGGAGAAGAGGGTAGGGTAGGAGTCAAGTTTTTAGGACAGAAGATCTGGTCCAAAATAGAAGAAGGAGAACACAAAAGAAAGGATGGTTCAAGATCCCCACTTCAAGAAGAGGGCCCTCCAAACTAACGTTTCAGATCCTTTTGCCTGGCACAAAACCTTTGGTCAAAGATGTTTTGGCCATTTTTCTCTCAACACAACTAGTTCGTAAACACACTGCAAAAGAACATGGAGAAAGACCAACACATTATATTTACACAAACCAGGCCACCCAGCAATCACCAACTCAGAAAACCAGGGAAGTCCTATAAAGCCCAGACAAATACAGTAGCTAGAGGGAGACAGCATCTGGGGGAGACAAGAATCCAGGAGCAAATGTATACCGCCCACTGCACAGCACCCAGTGCACACCACCCACTGCACAGCGCCCACTGCATAGCACCCAGTGCACAGCGCCCAGTGCACACCACCCAATGCACAGAGCCCAGTTGCACAGTGCTCACTGCACACCGCCCATTGCACAGCACCCACTGCATACCCCCCAGTGCACAGCGCCCACTGCCCAGTGCACACCACCCACTGCACACTGCCCATTGCACACCACCCAGTGCACACCGTCCACTGCACAATGCCCGATGGTTCTGTTGTGCTTGCTCCATTTCAGCACAGTGAAGGAAGTTCACAGTGATCTCAGCATGTAAATGAAACCCCCTTTTTCTCCTTTAGCTACCATGACACTATTAATCACTGCTGCAGCAGAGCAGGACACTGGCTCTGGGCACCATGAAGAGGCCCTTGCTGTGGGTCTCCCTGGAAGTCAAGATTTTTGAAAGTTTAAGGATTTTAGTTTCTTACTTAATATATCCATCCCTGGACTGCACAGGATGAGTACAGGGGTATTGGTCTTAAAACAACTCAGATTTTTGGGGAACACACACACACACATACACCCTGTTGTGCATGGTACAACTAGCCTAATCCCGTGAAAGATGGATCTGGTATGTAAAGCATGTCCGGTGTCCTAGGATTGGGCAACCCTCACCTAACCTTGGCTTCCTCTCTGCACCTTTCACCTGGCCCAGCCTCTCCTAACCTTGTGGCACCACCTTCTCCTGTTTAGACTAATTCATGGGTCAACCCAGGTAAAATCTAGTTCCCCCTGAAACATTTTCAAGTGGAGGGAGTTTCAGGGCCAAAAAATGGCCAAAAACATCTTTGACCATCTTTGACACTATGGCAAAAGATCCAGCTCTTGTTGGCAAAAATGCGGTAGTTCAGTATGCTGTGCGTGCCACATTGTTGCTCTCCATGGTGATAAAAACAACAGAAAGCGTTCCTGCAGTGCAGACCTAGAGCTGCTGCCTGCTGACTTACCCCTGACATTGCTCTTATACCTGAGACCAGTGTAGGAATGAGGGCCATAGATTAAAATAGACAAAAATACAAAACCAGAATATTTAAGAAAAAAAAGCTAAAATGCACAAGATAGGTCATGTGCAGACAGCTAGTGCGGTTGGCTTCCTGGAGAAGTGGGATTCAAGGGAGCAAATAAATAAAATCACATTGGCCCAGAATAGGGTGGATGGAGTGAGCTTAGGAGTGGCAGGTTTGCAGCTGTTCCCCGGCCAGCTTTTGCTTCTGTCACTACCTGTTGCTTGAGACACTTCCCAGCACCCTGTCCCAAGAGTGGGTATGAGGATTCCAGATGTGATAAAAGCACTGCCTCACTGCTGAGGGATTCTCTTCTGCAGAAGGTAGTGGCTGTGGGTTGGGTCCATTAATCTGCTCTCATGCTTAATCATTCCACTCTGTATGGGGAGTATTATTACACATCCCTCTTAAAAAGGAAAACAACTTCCCCATCCAGGCCACTTTCAGAAGCTGGAGATTGTGGGAGTGGAACCGCAGACAAAGCATGCAGGTTCCAGGGCAATTTCCCCCAGTGCCCTCCCTGGCACTAGGGTAGATCATGGCTGGGGTTCCTTAGCCTCACCCCTTCCCCCACTGAGAGAGAAAAAGAGTGATGCCATGAACCCCAACCTGAGATACACGGCAGTACCAGCCACCCCCAACCCATGCCATCCCCACTTTCTCCACTCTGCCGGTGGATGCCTGCTTCTAGAAATTTCCTGATAGCGAAAGAATAGTCCCCAAGCTCAAGTTGGGCTCTCCAGGAGCAGGACAGGGTTGTGAGTCTCTTCTTTCTCCTGAAAGTAGGCTTGCTTTCCCTGGGAGCTGAGGGCCTGCTGGGCCTTCAGTGGACATGAGGCCACCATATGGCTGACGCTGTGGTGAAAGTGGCGCTTCTTGGGCTGGGTAGCAGCTTGCATTCTTTGGCACGATGATGTAGACCTTCACAGTTGTAGTACCTGTCTCCTTCTTTTTTGTTGTTGTTTGTTTGACACAGAGTCTCACTCTGTTGCCCAGGCTAGAGTGTCGTGGCATCAGCCTAGCTCACAGCAACCTCAAACTCCTGGGATCAAGCGATCCTTCTGCCTCAGCCTCCCGAGTAGCTGGGACTACAGGCATGCGCCACCATGCCTGGCTAATGTTTTTTCTATATATATTTTTAGTTGGCCAATTAATTTCTTTCTATTTTTAGTAGAGACGGGATCTTGCTCCTGATCAGGCTGGTTTCAAACTCCTGACCTTGAGCGATACGCCTGCCTCGGCCTCTCAGAGTGCTAGGATTACAGGCGTGAACCACTGCGCCTGGCCACCTGTGTCCTTCTGATACACACTTGTGTATGTTCTTCCCCTCTGACCTCCTCTCACTCCCAGCACGGACACGCCACCAGTCCCATGACATGACAGATTGT